GTTTTTTTTTTTTGGTACATGACATTAAATGCATTTTTTTTTTCTCCTGTCACTTTTTTTTCTCACTGTGGTGTTATGAGAAAATGTCTTTTGTAAAGTGTGACAAAGTTACAATACCATAATTCATTTAAAAAAACAAAAAAAACAATGGTTACATTTGTTGTGTCACAAAAATGATTCAACTGTTTAGTACTGATTTTAGGCAGTTCTGAAACAATTAGTCAAAATTTTGTCAATTCAGTCGGCAGCAATCTGAATAACTATATAATTAGTCTGTCCATCCGAAATGCCCAAAATCAACAATTTTCAGCTTCTCAAATGTAAAGATTTGCTGCTTTTCTCTGTTCCATGTAATTGTAAGCTGAGTGTTTTGGAATGTTGGGTGGATCAGATAAGAAGATATCTCTTTCTGCTCAAGAGACTTGTGATTATTATTTTGTAAATTCCACACTAATTGTATTATTCTGAAAAATTATGATGATTAGACAGATAAAAGTAGTCAGTAGTTGCAGCCCTGATAGTGTCTTCTTCCTTGCAGGTGCACTCTCATCCTCAGCGTCGATCCCATCATCTTAATAGCCTGGACATTCCCAAAGGTTACCTGGGTCGTGGCATTCCTCACGCTCTGACCAGAGACAAACTGGAGTTGTTTGCTGTGCTGTGCATTGAGACGAGCCACTATGTGTCCTTTGTCAAACACGGTCCAAACAGCAGAGACTGGATCTTCTTTGACAGCATGGCAGACAGACAAGGTGAGCGGCCTGTTTTATGCATCTCCTCAACAAACAAATTGTTTATACAAGCACTCATTAAAACAGATGTGTATTGTGTTCAGGAGAGAGAGATGGCTACAACATTCCAGAGGTGCAAGCCTGTCCTGAGGTTGGCACTTACCTGGAAATGAGTCCTGCTGAGCTGGCCAGTCAGGTGCCTCGAGACATGAAAGGTGTGGCTAAGCGCCTTTTCTGTGATGCCTACATGTACCTGTACCAGAGCACCAGCATGTGCCTCTATCGCTAGCTAATGGGACACTTCACCACACTGGAAAACGTATTCATTGCACATTTTGACCAGAAAGATGTTTTTGCTTTCTTGCAGTTGATTCAGTTTTCTTTTAATGGATTGGTTTATTTAAATGATTGTGTGGTGATACACACAGTTATTTGAAACTTGTTTATACAGATGAGTGACAAATTAAAGGAAAATCCTGAACCCTGAACCGCCAAGCCCTACAGTTAGGGGATCTGGTGGCTCTATTAGACTGTGGGGGGCATTTTTCCACTTTTCCCGTGAGAGAAAAAGGTCACTCCAAACAATTCAAGGTTGTTCTGAGTGATCATCTTTATCCTGTGATGAAACATTTCTGTCCTGATGGTGTCTTCCAGGATGACAATGCACCTATCTATTGAGCATTAGGGGTAACTGAATGGTTTGATGAAAATGATGTGAATTACATCATGGTCTTCACAATCACCAGATCTCAACTCAGCTGAACACACATGGGAGACTTGGGACCAGTGTGTTCAACAGTGCTTTCAGTCACCATTATCAAATTAGAGAATAACTTTTAAAAGAATGGTGTCCATCCCTTTATTAGACTTCTGAGACTTGGAGAATCAACACCAAGATGCACTAGAGCTCTTCTGGCAGCACATGGTGGCCCATTGACTTAATAAGACATTTTGTGTTGGTTTTCCCTTGAATTTGTCATCTGTCTGAATATATAATTTTCTGCCCTGGTGCTGGGAAAGTATTATGAGGCTTGAGTAATTTATAACAATATTGTTTTTACACCTGTAACATTTTAAGAAGGAAAGGACAAACTGACTTTGTTTTCTCAGTAATTTTGCACTATAATCTAAAGACAAAAAAATGACAATCACCAACATGTGGTATGTTATGGGCATGTTGCATTGTAATTTTGTAATTTTGTCGTTTTCTGTTTCCTCCTATTGTCTAATTATCCTTAGCTAAATGTCCCACTCCTACATCAAGAGTAAAGGAGTTTGCAGTTGACTGCATAGCAGCTATTCAGTGTGGCTTGTAATAAATGGCATTGTACAATACTGTTGTAAATATACTATATTGTTAATTTGCCCAGAAAGCTCACCATTGAGATTTAGAATGGTGGCTAGTCCAGTTACTAGAAATATTTGATAAAATTTTTTCAAAATTTTACATTTTTAAAATTCTATTATGTTATTTGAATTTCACCTCAGGAAATGATATGCTGCTCTTTCATATGAAAATGCTTTTTTTTTCTTTTTTTGTGGTTTGGTAGTTGGGATAAGAGAATGGTACATCATATTATATAGCATATTGCCTTGGTAAAACTGCACTCAGACTTGTGGTCCTGGCTGAGCTTGTGGCCTTTTCCATTTTTACTGTATGTTTATTGCTACTGCTTCTGATATACAGTGCAATGCATATAATGAACGAACACATAGTTAAACATCTGTTTTTACTGAAAGACCAGGAAATACGTTGACACATCCATATTTTCATGTGGTTTTTATGTATTACCTACCCCAGTTTATTTATCAATCTTAAATAGCTTTAGGGTTCACGCAGCATGTAATTGTATCCACTTAGCTATACAGCTTAAAAGTCTAACAGGCAAGGCAGTCACTTTCAGACAGATTATTATTAATGACAACATTAGTGACCACAGCTTTGAACAATCATTATAAATAGAGAATTGTTAAGGTTTCATCTGTTATTCTTTTCACTTCCCGAGTGGTCTCACATGGCCTGACCTATTACACAGTACTGTGTCAGCACTGGAGTACGGTCTGGGTGCACCTCATTATCCTCATACTACATCAGGAAGAAAGGGCTTTGGCTTTTTTGTATTACTTTAAGCCAATCACAGTCGTCTTGGGGGGTTCTAAGCCCAGGATGTACTGACAAAAAATAGTGACGGGGGAATTGTTTTGGTGCATGCAAGGAGGCTACATTGTCATTAACCATCAACAGGAAAACAATAGTCATGAAAAGGGCAATCTGGCACAGTGTGCAGCTGATTTGTATTTTAAACAATTCCACTGAAATCGTCGAAAATGACACCAACATTCCTGGCTTAGGCACTTAGGTTTTCTGTCAGTGGCCATAAGTGGCAGGTTGTGCTCATTGTGGTGTCAGGGCATCAAAGACAATCACCTCTGTCTTGCTGTCATTCAACTGGTGACAGTTTTGCTGCCATCCAGCACCTCACAGCCAGTTTATGATGAGAAAAATGGAGTCGCTCATGTTTGGAGACACTTATATTTGTGTGTCATCAATGTAACAGTGGAACGAGCTATTGCTTTTGTACAGGATGGAGCTTCATGGGAGTATATACATAGAATATAAAATAGGCCCTAAAATAGAACCATGAGGTACTACCCAATTCTTTTGCCTCTTACTTTTTACTGTCGCAAAAGTAAGAGGCAAACCACTTTGGTCCAGTGGCCTGAATGCTAAGCTGGTCCTTGAAACTGTTTAAAAGAACACAGTAGTCAGCTGTATTAAAAACTGCACTGTTTAAATTATAAATTGCAAAATTGTCAGAGTTTGAATACAGCAGTAGGTCACTGGAAACTTTGAGTAGAGAGGATTCTGTGCTGTGGTGAGCCTCAAAGCCTGATTGGAAATCCTGGCATAATTCAATTAATTGATGTCATTATTATCTAAATAGGACAGAAGCTGTGCCCAAACCACTTTCTTCAAATCTCTGGACAAGATTATTTAGATGTGATTTGTTGAGGTTTGTTTTTTTTGATTAAAGGCTAAACTTTTGCTTGTTTGAAGGACATGTTGACAGTTTCATTTGCAAGGCTACTGTTTATAGTAGAAATTGTAAGTCCTACGGTGTCCTATAGAAGTCCACAAAGTTGGAAATTATTGTAAACAGTCTATATAGATTCTCAGTCATCCAGGTTTCACCATCCTCCTCCCAAAGGCAGCCATCCATCCACACCTCTTTGCATACACTCATGCAGAGTCCAACATTGCCTTGTATTCAGTCTGAACAAACTCATAGTGTCTTCATTCTTCCAGGTGGGAATATTTTACAAATACATAAATCTTGCAATGTTGTCAAAATGTTATTCACATAATTGCGCTCATGTGATAACTGATCAAAGTTGTCTTTCTTGCTGTGCCTTCATTACTTCTGTATTCTAAGCTGCTATGAAGACACTGCTGACTTAAGTGCTGGTAGTGTTTCCTTTAGAAAACAAAGCAGTGGAACACAGAGCAAGCAGGAAACGAACTGTTAGCACACCTCAGAGGGTCTGAAATGTCTGTTATGCTTAGAGTACAACAAAATGCTGCTTTGAAGTGTGCTTGGGTGTCACGCTAGCCTCAACTCGGATCAGTTTAGCATCACATGTACTACAGCTTCACGTGATCTGAATGCACTCAAGGTTTTCTTACATTAAAGAGCAAGACTTTGCTCAGCTCTCACTCCTTGTCTCTCATCTTTCTTTCAAACGATGCCTCACTGGATATTTGTCTCCCTTTCGGTTGCTTTTGATCCTGCTGTCTACTGTATTTCCCCTTTGTCTAGCTGTGATCAGCTCTCTGAATGACCTCTATGCTAGTTAGGAGTGCTGTGCTTTGCTTTGCGCTGTGATGAGTTGGGTTTTATATACTCAAGGGCGCGGATGGCTGCAGTAAGGGGTGCAGCCTTGAGTCTTAATGCACGGCCCTGCAATTCAACAAAGCAGCCTGCCTTTAATCCAGCGTGCTCAGCATATTCAAGCATATTCATCAGTATGCAAAAAAATACAGGTCCTGCATGTGTGTGTTCACATAAAGGAGAGACTTGTGCTTGTCTGAGCAGTAGAGAACTGAACTACTCCTAATTTTGTTGAAAAATCAGTCTGTATAATTTCCTGTCAAAGTCAGCGTCGTATTTCTAGTCTAGCTACCCTGCAAAATGATTTTCAGTGACTATTTTCTCAACAGTCCAATTTGTACTGCTTGTCTTCTTTTAAATTGCCAAGTGGAAGCTTAGTACAAATAGATTTTTCAAATAAATTTGACAGATTTGTAGTGTCTTCCAATTGCCCAATGTCTGATGTATCCATTTCTGACTAAAGAAATCTGGATTTGTAGGTAGGTACAGTATGTATTACCTTCTTTACCTATTATATAGCAGAGCGAATCACATCAATTATTTATATGCATCTATATTTTCTGACAGCTTTCTAATTTACTAATAAGGTCCAACAGAGCAGGATGACACTTTTTTTTTTTAAGTCATCTTTTATTTGGAATGACCACATTATTACTTAAGGCAATGCATTTGCATTGTAATATTAAAGGTTCATATGGAGAAAGTTTTTTTTTTTATTTTTTTTACTTCTGTCTTGTATGTTTTATAAATGTGGAGATGTAAAATTTAAGCTGTAAAAATATAAAGATGCTGACTACTGCCATTTGTCTAAACCCCCCTCAACCACATAGTCTCCCAGCCTTACAAACAAGTAAGAATCTAATTCAATTTCTGCATAGAAACTGAAGAACCTGTCATCCAGCTAAATATGTATAATACTTCCCCATCACTGTTTCCACATCAGCCATTCAGAAAGAGCGGCTACCTCACAGTCCACCAGGTTTATTTACTTTCTGAAGCTGCTCGTGCTAACTCTTAAATGTCTCAGCCATGAGCAAAGCCCACAGAATGTTCTGCTTTTTGCTGCAAGAGTGAACATAAGAGTCTTCATGCAGTCCCAACATTTGAAGAACTGAAGACCCAGCAGATTGCTTTCATTTTTGATGGCAATATCACCACAAAAACTGGAAAATCCCTGGTGTTTGCTCATTGCATAGGTGTGATGCTCATTAGCTTTGATCATATGCATACAGGTCAGAGCTCTGTGGAAAGTGTAGAAAGTGAGGGACATTCAGATATGGAAACTTTAAGACTGATTTGAAACCAGTAAAGAAGGACTGTTGGTTACTGGGTTTCAATGTAGCCTGTAGTGCTCAAGTGCACATATCACACATACTCACATATAATGTGCTTGAATACAGGCTAATCCCCAATAAAGCTATTCTCATTCACATATTTCCCTGTTACTGTTGTCAGACATTGGTACAAGTGAAATAATGACTGAAATGCAGTCCATTAAGACTTAACCAGCAGTCACTTCAGAGCCATTTCCAAGCTGCAGCATTCATTTGTTCATACATCCATTTGAATGAACAGTCAAAAAGATATGTATCACAGTTGGCACTGTGATGCTGATGTCAAAACAGATTGTAGTAATGACTATAAAAGTGTTGTCTGAAGCTACAAAAAGCCCTGACGACAAATCCACTCTTCACTGATTGATGCACAAAAACATACATACATGAGATTGTTCTGATGTAATCCCCACAAGAATCTCCTCATCTGGGCCTGTAACGCAAAGTGGAGTAGACAACCATCCTCCAACACCACTAATGTAACAGTGCACTCTGTAGGACATTGTGTTTGCTCGTTATCTGTTTCAGATCTGAAAACATTCATCCTCACTTTGTTCAGTCAGGAAGCCTCCAACAGGAAGGACATTAAACACTATCGGTCTGAACAGTGACATCTTTTTCCTGAGCCTGCTGACAACAGAAACATTGTGATGTTCAGTTCAAGCCTGTGGACAGTATATGTTTCTTTTGTTGATTCCAAACTCACTATGTCGCAGGACAACTTACTCTTTCTATTTTATGGAGTCAGGGTGAATGTAGATTTTATTTGAGTTATTATGAATGCATTCGTTTCTGATCTGAATTTGAGTAGTTATTTTACATTTCTGAATGGACCTTTTTTTTTTTTATTCTTCTTCTGTCACGTTCCTTTTACTAAACTATTGGCATTAAAGGTCACACATGTATTAAACCTTTTATAGACATCTCCGTTCTGCTCGGGGTCCTCTTTTAATCGAGTCATAGTCATAAAAAGTTCCACTTTTCCCATGAGAAGAAAGGCTTTTATTTCCCCCTTCTGCACACCAAGAGAGTTATGACTTTCATAGCCATATGCTCTTTCAGTTACTTATAAGCATTAGCACTCATAAATATGTCATTAAAGCACACATGCTGGCCTAAAATAGTTGTCTTTATGGGGGCTTTTGTGGCTTACATCTCTAGAGTCTGCCATGATCTTTAGATATTATTTGAAATTTGTATGTCAGCACCTGTGGGACCCTGATCTACATCCATCATGATTAGCATAAAAAACTCTATTGGCTGGCCAATGTTACATCTGCATAATTTAGCTGTGGAAAGGTTAACTCCGTCTCATTTGCAGCTTCAGAATTTGTCCCACAGTGGTTTTATGTCCATGTTCTCCGTTATACATTAGCCAACACCCACGACAGCTGAGACATGTGACAGGAGCGAAGCTGACACATAAATGTGGAAGTATGTGATGTGAAAGATTAAAAACTTGATATAGGGAGTTGCCTTCTTGAAGCCTGTTAATGATAAACAATAATTAAGGATGTCTGTCTGTTTTCATGCTGCGGGGAGAAGCTGCCCAGGGGGACTGAAGCTGATTTATGTAACACAATAAACAGAGAGATGAGTTTACACATAATGGGACCATGAGACGTGGCTTTTAGTGAGAAACCACTGATCGATCCCCCACAGGCAGCAGGTCCTCCACGCAACTGGTGGCTTTGTGTTATCAAGTACTTTACATGTCATATGGATGGTGTAGTCACTGATTTGCAACCTTAATTTGGCACTTTGAGAGCCATGGACCCACCTAAAGATGCATTTGTGTTCCCAAAGCAGAACCAGCGATGCCACAAACACCTTTTTGATTGCAGTCTGAAATAAAAAAATTAAAAGAAAATAAAAACTCTCATAACTGACATTTGACATCTGCCTAAAGTCACCGCTCTCATGGTGTTATTAAGGTGTATTAAGGTGTCTTAAGGTGTTATTACTGTACTAACATATGTTTGGTTAAGTTTTTAGTCTTGCTAGCAGCATGACTCTGCGGATAGTAATGTTGGTTGTTCCATCTCTTTTGTCCAAACCACAGGCTTTGTATATGTACATCAATAGCTGGACAGCACCTCACCACTGCACAAAACTGAAGCCAAAACATCTCAGAAATGGGTGCTGCCTTCTTTTACTGTTCATTTCCAGCCAGAATCTGTGCAGTAGTGACTTAGATGAAGAGGTGGTATTGTGGTCTTACCTCCTACCTGACCCAAATCTGATTAGACACCTCAGTAACTACCCAAAGTGAATTGTGCATTTGTGAGCATAAATGGTAGCAGCAAAATGTCAAAAAATGATGTGACTCATATTGAAGTGAGTTTAGATTCAACCAGGGCTACTACTACTACTCTACCTAAAGACTCAGCAGACTACTTTCTGTTAATTCTTCTGCCGTGAACCTGGTCTATTCACAATGTATGCCATGATACCCCACTTTTTATAGCAACAGTCAGTAAGAAACTAATCACAAAAATGAGCATTCGGACAAACATCAACATATAAAGGGGTAGGTCATTTGACAGACACCATTTTTGAGAAAGACTTATTTGAGGCGTCCTTTTCATCTATTAACAAGGAGAAGGACTGCATAGCAACCAAGCACCAAGGGGTGGACGAGATGTTTTGGCTTCACTTTCACAGTCTGTGGTTAGACTAAAATATCTCAATAACTATTTGATTCATTGCCATTAAAATTTGTGTAGACATTCATAGTCCCTGCAGGATGAACAGGAATGTTTCCACCATGAGGTTGAAATTTTTAGTTCATAGTGAAATACACTACTCACAATAAGTTAGGGATATTGTTATTTACATGAGTGCTTTTCCCATTTGGTCTGAATTTTAATGAAATAAGTAAAAGTTCCCTTTGATATTACTAATAATGAATGAGAAGAAATACCATTTTCATTCATTTAATATTTATTACCCCCAAAATTTAAACAATAACAAGGATAGCCCCAAACAACAAAAATTGACAATGTCAGTAGCGGGTGTTTCCACCATTTGCCGCAATGACAGCTTGACAACGACATCTCATGCTCCTCACTAGCCTGATGATGTTGTTCTGAGGCAATGCGTTCCACTCTTCCACAAGTGCTACACGCAGTTCTGCCAGGTCACGTGGGGGTGGAGTACGGTCATCCAGTCTCTGCTTCAGCTGGTCCCAGACCTGCTCTATGGGGTTCAGGTCATGGGACATTGCTGGCCATACCATATGAGGCACTCCGACTTCCTGAAGTCGAGTTGTGACAATTCTGGCACGATGTGGTGGAGCATTGTCATCCATGAACAGAAAGTTGGGGGTGTGCTGGTGGAATTGGGGGATGATGATGGTTTCTATGATGTCTCTGAGGTAGGAACGTGCAGTGACTGAGCCATCTACAAAAACCAAATCTGCTTTGCGCTGGCTGGTGATGCCTGCCCAGACTGTTGCACCTCCTCCACCAAAGCGAACCCTGGGGACCATG